TTATTTTTATTTTTTTTTTTTTGAAAAAATTTTAATGTTTATTTTTGAGAGAGAGAGAGACAGAGCATAAATGGGGGAGGGGCAGAGAGAGAGAGGGAGACCCAGAATCCATATCAGGCTTCAGGCTCTGAGCCATCAGCACAGAGCCCGAAGCAGGGCTCCCTCCAACTCATGAACCACAAGATCATGAGCTGAAGTCGGATGCTTAACAAACTGAGCCACCCAGGTGCCCCATGATTTTATTTTATTCTTGTATTTCTTTTCAACTGACCCTCTGGTTTCCTCACACTAATAAACATAGCTTTTTCAGCATCTATACACAAGTTCCTCTTATTAAATGATTTCTTGAACCTCCATTCGTCCTTAGAATATTTCACTAAGGATATATAATGGGTTTTTTTTTTAATGTTATTTTTTTTGAGAGGGAGAGAGGGAGACACGGAATCAGAAGCAGGCTCCAGGCTCTGAGCTAGTTGTCAGCACAGAGCCCGACGTGGGGCTCGAGCCCACGAACCACAAGATTATGTCCTGAGCCAAACCGACTGAGCCACTCAGGCGCCCCTATATAATGTTTTTAAAAAGGTCATTTGAAATGTTTTTTTTTTTCCCTCTGTGTGGATATAGCACCAATTTAATATTGCACCAATTTAACATAAATTAATTTGTTTCTGTCATAATCTAATACTGTTAAGGATTTCTTTTTTTGTTTTTGCCATTTCTTTTTGTTGGTGATGTTAATCTTGGTCACTTGGTTAGGGTAGTGCCTGATGGATTTTTCCACTGCAGAGCTACAGGTTTTCCCTTTGTAATGAATAAATAACTTGCCGAGCTACTTTGAGAAGACCCTATTTCTCCTGAAACTTTTGCCCAATGATGTTAGCATCCTAGGTAAATCTATGCATCTGGCCTGGAGCAGTTGCTACGGAGGTATTCTAATGCAAATTCTCTTCCCTACTCCTTCTAAATTAATTCATGGGAATTCTTCTATAAGGAAGAGCTGTCGCTTCTCTCTCATTTATGTATTTGGTCATTTATACCAGTGTACACCCATGGATTTATTCTTTTGGGCTATAATGTAATATTGCTATTTTATTTTTTATTTTTTTGTTTATTTATTTATTTATTTTAAATATTTTTATTTATTTCTAGGAGAGAGAGAGACAGCGTGACCAGGGGAGGGTCGGAGAGAGAGGGAGACACAGACTCTGAAATAGGCTCCAGGCTCTGAGCTGGCTGTCAGCACAGAGCCCAATGCGGGGCTCAAACCCACGAACCGCGAGATCATGACCTAAGCGAAAGTCGGATGCTTAACCGACTAAGCCACCCAGGCGCCCCATGTTTATTTATTTTTGAGAGAGAGAGAGACAGAATCTGAAGCAGGCTCTAGGCTTCGAGCTGTCAGCACAGAGCCTGATGCAGGGCTTGAACTCACAAACTATGAGATCATGACCTGCGCTGAAGTCAGATGCTTAACCAACTGAGCCACCCAGGTACCCTGTAATATTGCTATTTTAAAGATTGCTCTTTTTTCTTTTTTTTTCTTTTTGAGTTTGAACATTAAAGGTTTTTTTTTTTAACATATTTTCCTGGAAATTTTCAAACTTCCTCAAAAGTAGAGAGAATTAACTAATCTAATTAATTATTAGAATCCCCATGTATGCATCATCCATTTTGAGTCGTTAGCAACATTTGCCTATACTTATTTTGATCTGTTTCCACCTTCTCCCCCTTTTTTGCTAGGGTTTTTAAAGCACACCCCAAGTATATTATTTTCACATTTAAGTTCTTAGTATAGCATAGTTTTTTTTAATTGAAAACTCTGATCTTAAAAATATTATAAGATAAATGCCATATTCTACAAGAACTACCATGTGTTGGTGGGGAAAGAAACACTTGAGCATAAAGACAATAAAAATCATCCAGGTTTCTACCACTCAAATAGAACCTCTGAGAAAAATCTCCGCAAGTGTATCTTTTCAGACTCTTTTGACATCTATATAAAATTTAGGGGTAGAAAAAAATCTCGTTTCTATCAAATGCCCAGCTTTGGGGCAGAGGCTTGAGCATCTGAAGCTCAGTGGCTGTGTGTGGCCGTGAAACCTTCCTCAAGGGCTTACCTTGACCTGAAGGTGTGAGCACCATGTTTCTGTCACATGAGCATGGCAGCTGCTGCTCTCTAATCCCACACTGACTCAGTTTACCCAAAGCAATGGCAGCTAAAATGATTTTCTCTGGGGAGGATACCAGCTCTGGCAGACGGTCCCATGCCCCTCCCACTCCGCTGCCTTTGCACCCAGCTAATCACTGTGTGTCATCTTCTTCCCAGGCATGGAGAACCCCATGCCCGAGCGGCCCCGGGAGAAAGAGGAACCAGTGGTCCGGGAGACCAACGAGGCGGTTGACTGCCACCTGGGCGACATGCTGCAACAGCTACACAGCGTCAATGCCTCCAAGCCCTCAGAGCGGGGCCTGGTGAGGCAAGGTGGGCACTGCTGGAACCTGGGGTTGCGGGTGCCTAGGCATCTGGAGAGGCCAGGGAAGTCTCAGCTGCAGAGGGTCAGTGGCTTATCCAGGCCCCGGTCACCATAATACCTTTAGTTCCCTCATTTTCTGTAGATTAAAATCCAAATGGGTTAGCCTGGCATTCAAGTCCCCTCCTTTCTTTTCCTGATTCATTTGTTCTGTCTCCACAAGTGCCCCATCTTCCGGCACCCCAGCGTGCTGCCTTTATACATCTGCACATGCTGCTTCTGCTGTTCAGTGGACTCCTGCCTCATCTTCAGGAGCCTCGGGGCTCTTGCTCATACTGCTCCCTTCTGTAATGTACTTCCTCCACATCTGTGCATGGCTAACACTCCCCTCCTCCCAATGGCTGCCCCAGTGTGTCCCCTCCATGAGCATTTCCAGCCCCCACTCCTAGCACTTGTCTTTCCCCTCAGCTGCTGTGGATTTCTCCATAATTCTTCATTTCTGTATTTGTTTCTTGCGTTTAAATAGGGGATTATTGCATGCACCGAACATAACATTTTGACATATTTGGAATTGTGTATTGTCTCACAATTTTTTAATCATTCAGACCAGAAAATTCACTAATCCATCGGCCACTGACTCTCACCATGATAGAAGTAACTTAGAGATCTTGTCCATATTTACGCTGCTCAGCCTCTGTCCTTATAACAAGAACACAAGCTCCGTGAAGCCTGGGTTTTAGGCCATTGCTCACTGTACCTGCAACAGTGCCTGGCACACGGTAGGCCTTTGATCAGTGGATGGACTGACTGACCGAATGAATGGGACAGGGTGCTCTGCACTGGGACTTGTCTGTCCTGCTTCTTGCCAGGGCTTGGTGGTGACACAGCCCTGCTTGGCTCTTCTCTGGGTCCCAGGCCTCTTGACGGAGCCGGGGCAGGGTGCCCAGCAGCCCTCCCTGGTGTGGGCCACCTGAGTGGACTGGAGGGGAAGAGGCTGGTCCTGACCAACCATCTGTCTGCTTCTGTCACAGAGGAGGCTGAGGATCCTGCCTGCATCCCCATCTTCTGGGTCAGCAAATGGGTGGACTATTCAGACAAGTACGGCCTTGGTAGGTTGCTTCCAGAATGGGTGGGTGGCTCAGATACGGCCAAGTGACTCTTTGAGCTGTTCCAGGCTCTTGCCTTGTGTAGCTCCCAGGTCTTCTTGTCCCATTTCCACCTCCAGTGCCCCCCGCCCCCTACTGCCCCATCCTGAAGCCCCTCTCCACCTACCAGGGTACCAGCTGTGTGACAACAGTGTGGGGGTACTCTTCAACGACTCAACACGCCTGATCCTCTACAATGACGGCGACAGCCTGCAGTACATAGAGCGTGATGGCACAGAGTCCTACCTCACCGTGAGCTCCCACCCCAACTCCTTGATGAAGAAGGTAAGAGCTGGCTGGTCCCTGTGGCCTTGGGTCGTCGGGAGGCAGGCACTTGCCAGGGATCAGGCTCCAACTCTGGCCTCCCTCCCTCCTCTTCCAACCAGATCACCCTCCTGAAGTACTTCCGGAACTACATGAGCGAACACTTGCTGAAGGCAGGCGCCAATATCACGCCCCGGGAAGGCGATGAGCTCGCCCGGTTACCCTACCTGCGCACCTGGTTTCGCACCCGCAGCGCCATCATCCTGCACCTCAGCAACGGCTCTGTGCAGATCAACTTCTTCCAGGTGAACCGGCGTGGGGAAGAGTTGGGCAGGCTGCCTTTGCCTGGCAGCAGGCCCCCGGGGTTGGGTGGGGAGGGGCCGGTGTGGGACCCGTCCTTGGCATCAGGCAGTAGGAAGAGAGGGGGTGGGGGAATGGGAACCCCTCATCAGCCGAAATGTCTCCCCTCCACTCCCCAACACACACTAGCAGCTGGGGTCTTCAGTCTGCCCATAACTCCCCTTCCGTCTCTCTGCCCTCCTTTGCCTCCTAGGACCACACCAAACTCATCCTGTGCCCGCTGATGGCAGCTGTGACCTACATCGACGAGAAGCGGGACTTCCGCACATACCGCCTGAGCCTGCTGGAGGAGTATGGCTGCTCCAAGGAGCTGGCCAGCCGGCTGCGCTACGCCCGCACCATGGTGGACAAGCTCCTAAGCTCCCGCTCAGCCACCAACCGTCTCAAGGCCTCCTCCTAGGCCTTCCTCCCAGGCCTTCCTCCCCTCCGGACTGGTGCCCTTCCCCACCCCCAACAGCACCTCGGCCCGTACTGGTTAGCTCCCATGGTGCTGTTTTCTAGAATGTGCCCCCCGGCCCTGGGGGCTGGGGAGAGCTACATCATCCTTGCTGGCGGGTGTTGCCATGTAAATTATTTTTGTACATGTTCGGGTGTGGGTTCTGTGACCTCTTCCCCTTCCCTCTCAACCCCGCCATGTGAATTGTACAGAATATCGCTCTAGAATCCGGGACTGTCCTTTCCTTGCCTTTATATACATTAAACACGTGAATCTTCTTTTTCTTCTTGTAGTCCCTGAGGGGTGCCTGGGCTCTGGGCACATCTTTGCTCCAGAAGCCCCAGGCTGCCAAGTCTCTGTCTGTCTCTTTCGCTGCTGAGGCCAGCCTCAGCCACAGGCTCAACTCCTTGTCAGTGACCTCAGCTCGCGGCAGCCCCTGGGCACGGCTCCCTGGGCCTCGAGGCGGGCGGGTAGTAGGGCAGGAAGAGGCTTTCGGAGGCACAGCTCCTCATGGCCCCATACGTGTGGAGCAGCAGCTGCGGGAAGCGGGTTGTGAAGTACTGGACAAAACTGTCCGGGACGCAGCCTAGCGCCTGCCGTACCTCAGCCGGGAGCTCCCTGTAGTGGTGCTTCTGGAGGGAGTTAGAGCAGAGAGCCGCTGCTCAGCCGTGACCAGACTGCCCCGCCACCCAGGCCCCCCTCAAACCCTAGAGCACACCTTGTTCCTCATCGCACGGAGCAGGTCTCGCACTGATGTCCCCTTGTACGTCCGGAACCTTCTCAGATCTGTGGGCAGGAAACTCCTTGGCAAAGCTGCCCCCAGCAGACCCCTCCGCCACCCGGACCCACCCTGGGCCGAGCCCGGCCTCTACCTGTCTGCAGCGGCACGGAGATGTGCGTGTGCCAGTTGCACCGGACCACCGCGAGGCCCCCTGCCTCCAGCGCCATCACCAGGGGCCCCTGCTCAGGCTCCTTCTCCAGCCAGTCACTGACATCCTAGGACCCCATAGAGCTCCTGAGCCTTGTGACCAGTTTCAGAGGCCACAAAGCCAGCAGTGCCCTATGGCTTGGGGGAGCAAGTCAGCAAACACTTCTTGGTTTAGGGTAAGGATTGAAGCCCCTTGAGTAGAGCTTCTCTGTGCCATGTCTCCGTGTTACCTGCCAGGGCTTCACCAGCCTTTGAGGTAGGTACTGTTGTCCCCATTTTACAGATGAGCAAACAGGCTCCAAGGCACAAAGTCCCTTGCTCAAGGTCCCACAAATGGGGTGGGCTATCTGGGCACCAGTGTAGCACGAGTGACAACTAGGCATGGGGCGTGTCTCGTACACAGTACGAGCTGAGGCTCGTAGTAGTAGTAGCTGGGGCTGGGGAGTCTGGTAGGGGGCAGACTGGGGTGTCAGCACGGCAGCTTCTAGCTCCGAGCTTGGTTTAGAGGAGGAGCTGGGGTGCCCGGAACAGGCCACTCTTTCCCCAGCCACTCTGCCCCTCCCCTTATCACTCAAGACCCAGACTTGGGACTTTCTGGGACCGTTCCCAAGCTTTCCCTCTGACCTGGAAGAACTGGAGCTGCTTGGCTCTGCTCCAAAAGAAGGGGTGGGTGAGCACTTGGTGAGCAGAGGGGCGGGCCTGCGGCAGGGGGCTCAGCATGGCCTCAACCAGGTTCCGGGCAACCACCTTGTCTGTAACAGGGACAAACGAGGGATGGCTTCAGTCCTGGCCAGCCCCATGCTCTGCTTCCTCCCTTCTCTGCCAGGTCTAGACCCCTCACCGTGGGTCTCTTCCTCCAGGTGAGCCAGACTGGGAGCCGCTGCAAGGATGTTTGCCTGGCGGTAAAGACTCTCTCCGAAAGGGTGGCTGCCGCCAGAAAGCACGTAGTAGAACACGCAGCCTGCAGAGAAGATGTCTACTGCGCTTGTCTGGGGGCAGAGAGACAGACCTCAGGAAGCAGTCGCTGCTTCCAGGAAGCCTGCCTGGTTCGATTCTCCCATGGGTTGACACAGTAGCCAGGGCTTTGGTTCAGACTAGAATTCCAGGGTGCTTCCTGGGTGCCATTTCCTTGGCCCGGGATCTCCTCCCCTCTGCACCCTTGGAAGGGGCCCATGGTCTGCATCCAAAATCTTTGTGCCACTGAGCCACTAGCGCAGGTGACCAAGCTGTGTTCCTCCAGGTCTGGCAGGTAACAGCAGTGAGCGAAGCTGGCCAGGCACGAGGCAACGAAGTGGCACCGGCCCTCCCAGAGGTGACAGCTGGACTTAGCTCCAGCTGCTTGCCTCCAGGGGACTCTCCCTGGAGACTGAGTTTTGATTTCCAAGAGGATTCCAAAATCCAGATTATAATGTGGAATTTCCCAAAAGTTAAAATACTGGCCACTAATAAAATAAATCTGTACAGGCTCGTAACATCAGTTCCTTTGGTGGCCAGGTGCCCACCTGCTTTCTCTCAACTCAGGTGTGGCTTTGCCTAGTGCCTGACCGTTCCTGTTAACTCCCGCCTGTGTGCATGACTTCATCTTCCATTTGCACCCTGACAGCTCAAAAATCCAAAAATCCTGGGGTCTCAGACTCAAGCGTCTCTGGGGGTCAGACACTGCTCTGGGCTTCAACTCTATTTGCTCCTTCGGTGCTCCCCAAGCCCTTGGCACCAGTGGCCCTCCCCGGCTATGCGTTGGAACCAGTTGGGCCCTACTCTAGGCTAATCAGGTCAGAATCACAGTGTGTGGGGCCTGGGCATCTGGCTTTTTAGAGTCCCCCAGCGATTATGCAGCACAGTGTGGACTGAAAACCTTTTTCCAGCTCAGGATTTCTCAACACTAGTACTACTGACACCTGCGGGCGGATAATTGTTGTGGGGAGCTGTTCTGTGCATTGTAGGGTGTTTAGGCCTCTAACCCACCCAATCCAGTAGCAAGTTCTGATTCCATTGCCAGGTGTGACGACCAAGAAGGTCTCCAAACAGTGCCCAATGTTCCCTGGGCAGTGAAATAGTCCCTGGTTGAGAACAGTTCCTCTAGGGATGGAACTGTACCCACTTTACAGAGGTTGATAAAGGCTTGGCCACATCCCATCCGAAGAGGCATGCGGCCGGCAGGGAGCCCCGCGCCCTGGGGTGCGGCAGGAGGACTCACTCACAGGGCTGTCTTGGGGTAGAAGCTGTAGGAGCTCCGGTGCCATCCAGCCTTCCGTGCCAGGGATGCCCGAGCGGAGGCTGAAGCTGCAGCGGCCGGCAGGCAGCTTTTTGCAGAGGCCAAAGTCTGAGAGCACCACCCGGCCTCTGCCCTCAGGGCTGTCAGGCCCGGCGATGAGGACGTTGGAGGGCTTCAGGTCCCGGTGCACTGAGCACAGAGCAGAGGTGGGCAGAGCTGAGAGAGGCGGTGGGGAAGGCGGAGCCAAGGGTGGGGGCGGGGCCCAGGCCAGGGACGGAAGGTGGGGGCGGGGCGTACCGATGTGCAGGGAATGCAGGTGGGCCAGGCCTGACGTCAGCTGCTGCAGCGCCTCCTGGGGCTCCAGGCCCCAGCGCTCCAGCTCAGGGTTTTCCACGTACTGAGGAGGTGAGGGACAGAGCGTCACTCTGCAACCCGGGACCCCACCAACACCCCACGTCCCCTCCGAGCTCTGGCTCACCTCCTGCAAGGAGGCCTGGCAGAGCTCCAGGGCGATGTAGTGGAACTGAGGTCCCCGCTCCGTACAAAAGTAGCGGAGCACATTGGGGTGCCTGTCTGACTCCTGCAGCAGCTGGACCTCCCTCCGGACCAGGCCGAAGCACTCACGGAGCAGCCGCTTGACAGCCACGGCCCGCCCCTCCAAGTGGCCTCTGGGAGATTCGGAGAGGGAAGACGAAGGAAAAGGCTCCCACCTGCACCCACCTCGGGGAGCCTTGGGAAAGAATGGCTCCCGGAGGGACAGTGGCCAAAAGTGTGGCAAGAGCCACGCCTCCAGCCCGGCTCCTGGCTGCCACTCACCGGAAAACGAATGTCCCGCCTGCCCCGCGGCCCAGCACGTCCTTGGGGTTGAAGGAAATCTTGCCCACCACCGTGAGCTGCTCGGCTAGGGAAGATGACAGAGTCTCAGGGAGTCTCTGCTAGCTGCCCACAGCCTCCCCTCTGCTCATCCCTCCCACTCCTCTGGAATCCCACCCTCCAGGCTCAGCCTGGGACTGCCACTTCCTCTTTGTGGTCCTTGGCAAGTTACTCAACCCCTATGCCCTTGGTTTTCTCATGTGTAAAGTGGGACTCCTGTTGATGATCGCACCCAACATTACTGTGGATTAAATGAAGGTGTGGGAGAAGGGCGGGGGTATGGGCTGCTAGATTATCCTCTTTATCATTCTCCCTTCCAGGGGTTGCTGCCCAGATTAATTTCTTTACTTCCTCTGCTAGAAATCCCCCCCCCCGCCCCCACTCCTCCCTTTGCCAGTTATAATAAACCCTTTTCACTGAGGAATTGGCTTCAAACAGCTGGCAGAATGGTGAGGCTGAGTGCAGTTCCAGGAGAGATACCCCCCACGGGAGGGGGCAGCAGTGAGCATTCCCATGCTAAGCCATCCCAGAGTTAGTTCTAGAGTGGCAGGGAGCCCCTGGAATGCCTTGGTTTCCTGTTAAGAAGGATGAAGTCGGCTCAGGCAAGCAGAGGGCTGACTTGGACAGTTACACTCTAAGTGTAACTTAGTCTACACTCCAAGGGTAGACTTGGACAGTTACACTCTATCCTTTGGGTAGCTTGCAAAAGTTAGTGACCCAGGCATGGCTATGCCCTGCTCAGCTCCAAGAGACACCATTCATACATTTCAATGTATATGGCTCCCCAAGAGCCCTGAGAACACTCTACTCAGAGCTGCCCGCTCTAGCCTCTGCAATTAGCTCCAAGAAAAGCAAATGAAAATTAGCATAAGGATCAGTGAGAAGGGTACCAAGCTGTCCCTCAGTATTGCTCTGGATTATTTTGGTAAAAATTCACTCTCCTCTCTTGGCAAAATGCGGGCAGTAACCTAAATTTGAAGACCCTGGACTCTCGAGAGTGATGGTCTCAGGGCCTAGAAGCACAGGTAAGGGCAGGCCCATTTCTGGCAGCTCAGAAGGCAGGGACAGGGTTGCTGGGGTCTGACAGACTGTGGTTATGAGGGGCTAATGAAGGACAATGGGAAGAACCACAGGGCCCTTTGGTGAGAACCATTCTGGGAAAAGATGGAGTCTGGTCTGTCTGGGGAAAGACTCAGCTTGAGTCCGAAGACCCGAGGAGATGAGTGATTCTGGGGGCAGTGGGTGAGTATTATGTGGACCCTCCAGAGCCAGTGAAGTGACAAGAACAGTAACCCCTCAAGGCTCAGGCAACTTTGCCGTGAGCACCTTCTGACAGAATAGACCCTCAGGAAGGGGCGCGGTTCTGTCTCAGCAGAGGCAGGGTGAACACAGGGGTGGGTGCTGGGAGCAGCACCGAAGCATCAGGCCAAGTGTGGGGTGGGCTTCATCTGGAGTTAAGGGGCCAGCAGTGTGGCTCCATGGAGTGAGATGGGGGTTTGGGCTGTGATCAGGAGGTGCTGGCAGCAGCTCATGCTAGGCACCGAAGGCCAGTCCAGCCCAGACCCAAAGAAGCAGGAGAAATAGCCCAGATTGCCCAACAAAAGCACGTGGAGTCCCCCTTGGGACATCGCACAGATACCAGTTTGAAATTAAATAGACAAAAGAGAAGAGAAGTGTTTAAAAATAAAAAGTCCTAGGGGGCGCCTGGGTGGCTCAGTCACTTAGTTAAGTGTCATACTTCAGCTCAAGTCATGATCTCATGGTTTGTGAGTTCAAGCACGGCATCAGGCTCTCTGCCGTTGGATCCTCTGTCTCCCTCTCTCTGCCCATCTCCTGCTTGTGCTCTTTCAAGCACAGAAATAATAAACATTAAAAAATATAAAAATAGGGGCGCCTGGGTGGCTTAGTCGGTTAAGCGTCCGACTTTCGCTTGGGTCATGATCTCGCGGTTCGTGGGTTCAAGCCCCGCGTCGGGCTCTGTGCTGACTGCCAGCTCGGAGCCTGGAGCCTGTTTCAGTCTGTGACTCCCTCTCTCTCTGACCCTCCCCTGCTCACGCTGTCTCTCTCTCTCCTAGAAATAAATAAAACATTTAAAAAAATATATATATATAAAAATAAAAATACTGGTTCACACCTTTAAAAAATACTTAAAAATTAAAAATCCTAAAGAAAGAAAAAAGAACAAAATGAAACCTAGGTAATTGACTATTACTGTTACAAAATATGATGTCAGACTAACCCAAACGTTGTTAATATCACCTAGGAATGATTCAATCATAATGATGCTGGTAGCCTCTCGCAATGATTTGGGTGTTATTTTTTTCCATTCGACAGATGAGAAAATCAAAACTCAGAGGAGGAAAGAAAGCAACCTGTCAAAGGTAACAAATAGTGGAGTTAGGTCTATACCCAGTTTTACGTGCACCCAGCGTCCTTGAAAATAATGATAAAAAATCATGACAGGTATTTCTACAGTGCTTAACTACATAGAAGGCTGGCTTGGAAATATTCTCTCATTAACTCACTTGGGCTTAACCACCATACTATAATGACTTCTAATAAACCAACTAAATCTGCACCCTCTTTTCTCTGTCCCTGACTCTGCCCTTTATTGTTCACTTAAGCTCACCTTCTGGGTCTTCGACTGCCTGGGCTTGCTCTGAGGGGCTCTGAAGGCTCTTCTGGCCCTGTGGGGTGGCCCCTGATGGCTGGGACTGAGCACTCTTTGTGATGTGAGGAGGATCTGTCGGTGCCAGGAGGGCCTCCTGCTGTTTCTCCATCAGCTGCTGCTTCTTCACCAGCTGTTGCTGCTGACATACGGGGCCGAAGAGGGATCAGCCTTGGCCAGGCCCTGCCCCTGGAGGAGCCCAGCGGCAGTGCCTGAGACAGCCTGGCATGGGACCATGAACATATAAAACACAGTAGCAAGGGCTTGGGGAGCTGCTGGGAGGAAGGCAGGGGGCAGAATCAGAGTTGGGTGAGGAAGACAGCTGCTGAGTAGTCTTGGAGAAAAGGGGAAGAATTCCCTCTAGGAAGACTCTAAGACGTACCTCAGGTCATGAGCAATGGGCTTACCTGCCTCATTAGGAAGATAATCCACCCTCCCAGGAGGACAGCAGTGAGGCTAGCTGTCAACAGGTCTTGGGGTCCCAGCCCTAGACACAAGTCTGGGGTTTTCTCTTCAGGATGCAGCTCCAGGTTCCAAGGTTTCTCATGGCTCAGGCTCAGGAGCTGAGGACAAAGGAACACTCTTAGCACACTCATCCACTGTGGAACCCCCAGCCCTTCTCCATCACCCAGGACAGGGCTGCTGGGCTTAGCTGAAGGGGCAGTGAGTGATTAGTCTACATGGTGGGAAACATGGTGCTCTCCGTGGTGCTGAAACATCATTGTGTCCCAGGAGTGTGGTCTTCAGAACCCAGCTGAATACCACCGTCTCCTGGGACATCACTAAAAAATACAGATAGTCTTGGGGAATCACCAAAAATTCAGATATCCATATCCAAAGATTCTAATTCAGTGGGGTTTGAGCAAGCTCCCATGTGATTCTGATTAGCAACCAGAACTTGAAAATTACTGCTCCAGGTCATGACTGTTCTAACCTTGAAGTACTAGTGATTCTTGCCCAACCCTCTTCCAAGGGAACATGCTTTTATAGTTTTTCTGTTTACATTTTCTCACTTGATAAATATTTTGTAATTTTTACACTGAGGAATAATTAAAACTGTGATCCATATTTTACAATTTAGATAACCAATATCCTTTGAAACTTCTTATACATTTCTGGCAATAACACCATATGTGTATGTTTTTCTTCCAGGAAATTGCGTGGGATCAATTGACCGCCCCCCCCCCCCGAATGCTATTCCTAGAAGCCTGAGGAAAAGGTCCAACAGCTGCCCTCCCAACCTGCCAAGTCCCCCCTCTCATGCCCTCTGCCCTGCTAGCACTGACCTCCGGGAAGAGGGCTGGGGTCTGCATGCTCTCTGAGAGTCTGTTCTCAACAGTGCCACTCCTTGCGGTAGGATGTACCCTCAGCATTGTTGTATGTAGAACTGGGGGTAGCTCATGGTGTCCTAAGAGGCAGAGCAAAAGTCAGCTTGCTGAAGGTGACCTCAGCCTTCCAGCTCAGGAGCTGGGTTCATAGATCCTTCATCTACTCCAAACCTGAGCCAGGAGAATCTCACCAATGAGCAGCCACTGGCTAGGGAGGGCCACGCTGCCTGAGGGGTATCTGACAGCGGTGCTAGGTGAGCCCTCTCGCTCCCCTGAGACTTGGAGTGTCACTTCATCTGTGGTTGGGCCATCCATAGGGGCCAGGGTCAGTCCACGAGGCTATGGCAGAAGATAGAGAGTCATGAGTGGGGGCACTCCTCTCCTGCTGCATCCTCTCCTTCCAGCCCATCAGAGACCCCTTCTCACCACTAGGGCCACCCCTGTGTGAACCAGCGCTTTAGAAACATAGAAGCCAGCTTCGTCTTTCCCCACATACAGTGTCATCCTAATGAGGGACAAGAAAAAGAGGAGAAGCATGAGTGTTGATGATAAGTCATTTCAGTTACCACTGAACTGGTGTCTTGGTACTGTCCTCTCCCACATAGACTATGGGCTTAGCTATGTGACTTGCTTTGGACAAGGAGACAAGAACAAATGTAACACAAGCAGAGGCTTGAGAAGTGTTTGTGCTTTGGGGCTTGTCTTCCCATGTTGTTCTCTGGAACCCTGAGACCGCCATGTGAGGAAACCCAGGCTAGCCATCTGGGGCATGAGAGACCTCCTTTGACACCACCTAGGCCAAACAACCCACTAACTATGATACAGGTGAGAGAGGCCAACCAAAACTATCCAGACTCAGCCAAACCACCTGCTGACTGCAGATATTAACTAGGATAGCCCAGATCAGAAAACCACTCAGTTGACCCACAGAATCTTGAAAAATAATAAATGTTCATTGTTTTTAAGCTCTAAGCTTTGGGAGTGCTTTGTTATGCAGCAAAAGCTAACTGATACAAGCTCTATAGTCATGGTTTCTAAATCTGTATCTAGCATAGACCTCTTTCAAGAGCTCAGTTCTCTAAATCTGAACTTGTCACTTCGTTCCATACCTCCTCCTCCTCATCCCCTTCTTCCTCTAGAGCTCCCTACCTCTGAAAACAGCAGCACCCATGTGCTTCTAGAAACCTGACCATGACCCTTGACTCCTTGCTCACAATCACCAAACTCCCTGATCACCAAATTCTTACTGTTTTTCCCTCTTCATATCTCTTACTTTTCACTTATTTCCATCTCTAGTGTTGCCATCCTAGTCCATGCCTGAACTAACACAATATTCTATACGTGTGCCCTTCCTCACTATATGTCTCTAAGATATTCTTCACACTGAAGCCAGAGTTGTCTTTCTAAAATGAAAAGATGATCAAATGACTTCTTTGCTTAAAACCCTCCAATGATTTTTTCCTTAGCCTTGGGGGAAAATGTCCACACCTTTTAAATGATCCTACCAGATCCCTGCTTAACACCCTCAGACCTTACTCACTGCTCAGATCTATACTCCAGGTTTATTTAATCTCTGTTCCCTGGCTCCATGTTCTCTCTCTCTCTCTCTCTCTCTCTCTTTCTTTTTTCTATTCATCCTTCAGTTTTCAATTTAGATGTCTTTTCCTCCAGGAAGCTTTCCATGACTGCCTCTTGTCCCTGGTCTCAATTTAGGTACCTTTCCTGTATATTCCCATGGCAAATCTATACTTCTCTTATATTATTCTCTATCATACTCTTTTATAACTGCCCACTTACACACTTGTCTCCCCCACTAGACTCAGATTTCTGTAGGTGGGAACACTGGCTGTATTATTGTTCCAGAGTCTAACCAGTGATAGGTACACAGTAAGTGCCCAATTAGTATTTGTGTAATGAACTGAATGAATAGGTAATGAACTGAATGAATAGATAATCCCTGATTTTACCAGTTTTTTTTTTCCTAAGTTGGAGATTCTAGGGTATTCAGTACTGTAAGTAAGGATAGTAGTTAGTCTTTAACAATTCAGGCAGAGCACCTACCGAGCAGAATAGGCTCCATCCATACACTGCAGTGGAGACCTGAAGGCCCCTCTAGGCTAGATTTTACCCTAGAAGTTGCTGAGTAGCAGGGCTATCCAGAAGGTCCTGGGGGCACTTGGGTGGGGGTTGGTGCTAAGCACTGGTTATTTGCCAATCAGTTTGGTAAATAACCAGTTTGAAATATTTGGGCCCCTAGTTCAGCTATACAAGTGTATCATGCTTAGACATCACACCTGCCCAGAGGGCCCCTCCCCAGTCCCCGGGGATGGGCACCTACAGAAGCTGGGTGTCCAAGGCGGAGAAGTAGGTAGCCGTGCCCTGGGCACCTGAGGCAGGCAGTCGGATGTGGCCCCAGCGGAGAGCGAGGAAATGCAGGGTGTCCCGAGCCAGCGTGAGATGGGGCAGCTGATGCAGGCTGTCCTGGTGCCAGGTGTAGATTCCCACCACAGGCATGCCCAAGTCCTGTGTCCACAGCACCGTCCCACTTCCTGGGTCCACAGTTAGCAGCAGGCCCATCCCACAGGATGCCAGGTAGCTCATGTCTGCCAAGAAAGACAGGTGGGGAGATGTGGCCAGGGAGTTCAGATGTGAGGCATCTCAGAGCATCTTGGGGCGGGGGGTGGGGGAGAAGCTGCCCCGAGGTAGGTCATCAGGAGGGCCACTCAGGTGTGTGGGGTCAGGTGAGATCACCTGGAGACTTATGAAGATGTGGGAAGGTCAGTCACGGTTCACTGGGTCACTTTGATCAGTCAGGGGACCAGTCAGGGTCAACTAGAGAGCTATGTAGAATGGAGGGGTCCATCAGGGTCATCCAATGGTGGCTCAGGTGTGTGAATCAGTCCAGGTCACTTTAGAGAGGTCACTAGGATGTGGGGTAGTCATTCATGGTCTTATTTATGTCATGTCACCCAGGAGAGGTCAATCAGGGTGGCCTGGAGGTATATAGGTCACTTGGGAATCATTTAGAGTGTGAAGGGATTAGTCAGGGGCCCTGGGGGTGTCAGTTGTGATGTTTCAGTGTTACTTGCCTGCGTTCTCATGCAAAATGATGACGTCAGAGTATGAGGGGTCACTTAGGAACACCTGTAAGCTCACTCAGGCAACTGGGTGGGACAGTCATAATATCAATGGAGAGGTTAATCTTGAGGAAGTCACTTAGAGTCATCTCTCAGGGGTCGTTCAGCATTGAGGGTCAGTTAGGACTTGTGGGAACTCCTCAGAGTGTTTGAGAGTTGCTTAGGGTCACTCAGGACATGGGTAGTCATCCAGAGTTACCTGGCTCAGCTCATTGGGAATATGGAGGAGTTAGAATGTTAAGGACTGCTCAGGGTACAGGGGGGTCAGGCTGGATGTTAAGGGGTTCACTTAGGGTCATCCATCAAGGGTATGTCATTCAGAATGTGGTGGGGCCTGGTCGTAGATGCCACTCAGGGTTCCCTGAGTTGGGGACCTTGCTCCAAGGTGAGCCAGAGAAAGGCGGCACTCACATTTCCCAGGCAAGCTATCCATGGGGGGTGCTGAGTAGCGGCGGTAGGTGGTGTTCCAGCGCAGAGCCGGGGACTTGGGGTCATGCATGGTGACCGTGTACTCTGCAAGTGCCCAGAAGCAGGGTTACCAGGAATACCCATGTGATAGTCCTCCCCCACCAACCCCAGGGAGTACCATCTGGCACCCGTCCTGGAGGCCAGAGTCTGTGAGCATCACAGCCTGTCTGGGCTACTGCTGTGTCCTCAGCTCCTTGTTTAGCACTCAGTGAAATGGTTGTTGACTGACAGGTTGACTGACTGGCCTGGATTCAACTTGGATAGCCAATTGCCAGGCCTGGGCAGCACAAAAGAGGGGGCTGGATGCCCACAGCTTGGGGAGCAGGCGGGGCCTGACTCACGTGTCCGGCCGATGTAGAGGCGGGGGGTGGAGGGACCCTCTGTGGTCAGTGTCATCTGTGTCTCTCCTGACTCAGGGTCCACGACAAACCAGGCATCCTGCTTCCGGCCTGTGGAGGTAGAAAGTTGCCAGCCCTCACGATGGCCTTGGACAGGGTGTGCAGCCTGCTGTCCTGTGCCCAGCTGACCCCCTGTGACAAAGTCCCCATCCCTGCCTGATCTGGACCCGCAGGCTGGAGAGACACTTACCCGTGTAGAAGACGCCATCAGAGCTTCGACATGGGGAGGCATGAACCAGCTCGGGGATGGTAAACGGTAGCCTCTGAGAGGAAGAATTTTCAGGAAGGAGTAAGAGCAGAAAAACACATACAACCTACTCACTAGGTACAATTATTATAATTTTCATTTCCAGAGATGGTAAGTAATTCAGCTACTGTCACACAGCTGGTAAATGGCAGAGCCAGGCCTTGGACCCAAGTGGCCAGTTTCTGGAGCCAGCACACTTAACCACTTTGCTACACAGCCTCTTAACGAACTGTGGAAAATCCCATGCTCCACTCCAAGATGCCACCTGATGGATCTAGCCTGACATCCTCCTCTAAACAGTTGCAGAGACCTCAGTGCTTCAAGGACCATGACAGCCTCAGAGAAGCTGAGGATCAGTTCCAGACTAAAGGACACCCAAGAGACATGATGACCAAACACAACAGGTGATTCTGGGTCAGATACCAGATGAGGAAGACAATAAAGGACACCCATGCCACACTTGAAAAATTACTATGGACTGTGGATTGGATAATACTATCCCATCCATGTTAAATGTCCTGCTTTTGATCATTTATACTCAGTTCTTAGGAATACATAGTGCTCCTTGAGGAGTAAAGAGGTAGGTCTGCAACTCATTCACAAACAGTTCAGAAAAAAAAATTGTATAGGGGCGCCTGGCTAGCTCAGTTGGTGGAGCATGTGACTCTTGATCTCAGGGTTGTAAGTTCGAGCCCCACCTTGGGTATAGGGAATATTTAAAAAAATTTTTTTTAATCTAAAGAAAGAAAATTAAATGGTGTATATACGTTATCTATCTATCTATCTATCTATCTATCTATCTATCACCTATCCATTAAGAGAGAATGATAAAGCAAATGTAATAAGATGTTAAAAACTGATGAATCTGGGTAAAGGGAATAAAGAATTTCTTTTTACCATTCTTACATCTTTCTTTCTTTCTCTCTTTCTTTCTTTTGTTTATTTATTTTTGAGAGAGACAGAGCACAAGTGGGGCAGGGGCAGTGAGAGAGAGGGAGACACAGAATCCAAAGCAGGCTCCAGGGACTCAAACCCATAAACTGCAAGATCATGACCTGAGCCTAAGTCAGACGCTTAACCAACCGAGCCACGCAGATGCCCTGCATTTTTCTTTCTTTTTTTGGGAATTATATCAAAATTTTAAACATCTCCAAACTCCACTTGAACCACACTCTAGTACTGAGGGCAACAGGCCTGACAGCCTGCTCTGCAGACAGTTCAAACCACCACACCACTCCCTTTCAACAGGCCCCTCTGTACAGTCTTCCCAGAACGCACTCAGAGCTTCTCTACAGGACACGCAGATGCCAACCATGCGGCTCCTCATGCTCTGGCTAACAGAAGCCCAGGCCCTCTCCCGTCCCAAGCACTTTAGGAGACACACCATTAACCCCTGCTGTTTCTGGGTGCCCAAGATGTACAGGCTGCCATCAGCTGGGTCCGACAGAAAGGCTGTCCTGTGGGGCACAGAGGAACAGGGGAAGGGTTAAGCTCATGCCCCCTGGTTTCCTGAAGGCCCCGTTTCCCTCCGTCTTCTCCGGCTGGTAGGAGGCACCACACAGCTCCAGATCCAAACCCCTTCCCTTCCTTCCAACATGCCCCTACCCCCAGCCCACCGAACTCCCTCCAGACAACTGGAGGAGTGGCTTCCCCATCTCCCAGATGCCCCCTCCTTCAAAGACCGCAGGTTCACTTACTCCGTGACATACATGGGCCCTTGGATGATGGGATCTGCGGGCACAGGGACATGAAGCATGAGTAACCCCCTCCACACTGCCCACTGACAAAGCTCAAATTCATGGGGTGCTTCCTGTGGGCCAGCCACTGAGCCACTCACGTGACATTCATGGAATTTAATCCTCCCAAGAACTCTGTGAAGAAAGGTCATTACCCTTGGCCCCATTTTACAGGTGAGGACATTGAGGCCCAGAGGGGTGAAGTGACTTTCTCAAAGGCACACAGCTGGAAAGTGGGGCAGCTGCCTGAAGATACTGACTTGTTGGATTCCAGACCCCAGGCTCTTATCTTCCATGCCACGGTGACCTCCCCACCCCCCAACTCAGGGTCCAAGGAAGGAAGAATGACTGCCCCTTGCTCACCATCCTTCAGGGTCCACTTCAAGTCCCCTGTCTCCTTGTTCAGTGCGTGGAGACTTCCGTCCAGGGTGGACACTAGCAGTAGGCTCTCTGGCCTGAGGCTCTGGACCTGAAGTGGGAAACAAAGTCACCTCCTCTGAGGACCCCAGGGGCACCCCTTGTCCTCACTGATGCAAGCCTGGCTGTGACTCTTCTTCTCGCAGAGGGGGGCAGACAAAGAAGGAAGCAAGACTGGAGAAGCTACTGGCTCCCCGCCGTTGATCTCCTGGACCCTAGAGAGGGGTTACAGTGGGAGCTGGCGGGGGGCGGGGGGGGGCGGCTCCCATGGTGTCTAAAGTCTGTCCTCTTTCCCACCCCTCAATTATTTCTGGTTTTCCAAAGAAGACAGAAGGCCTTTGTGGAAGGCCTTCACAGTCTCCCTGTGAGATCGGTGCTACTGTCTCCAGCGCCAGGGAGAGAGACTGAGGCTCACACGGGTTGGGTAATTAGCCTAAAAGCACGCAGAAAGGGTATTGGCATCTCTCTGATTCCAGTGCCTGGAACTTTTTTCCTTTGTCACACTGACTGGCTTTCCTTGGGATGACCCCCTCTGCCACCCCCAAACCGGCCCAGCTACTTCTGGTGCCAGGCTCCAGGGGTCCCCTGGCCCAAGGCTCAGGGTGGCCAAGTGGGGGGAGGGCTGGAGCTGCCCTCGCATCTGGTTTCTGCTGGGCTAACTCACCTGTTCTAGCCCCTCCTTGAGCAAACAGGTGAGGCTGAGCGCCTAGCAGGAACCCTAACATCCGGGTGGCCCCGCCGCACCCCTGCAAAGGCCACATCCTGCTCCAGGACCCTCAGGTGTGGAGCTGAGCCAACGGTCTTGGTGGAGAGGCAGCAAACTGCCTCCTGGCCCCTCTCTTTCCCCAGCCTGTTTTGTGATCCGAGAAGAAACTGCAGACTAGTTGTCCACAGCTGAGTGGCTCGACCATCATCGTGTTTACAAATGTGTTTTTAATTAGCTACCATTTCTAAAATTGGAGCGATTTCACTTTTAAAAACCCGGATTTCTATTTTTTTTTCATTTCCAGCCTTTCTAATTTTTCTGGAGACATCTGCAGTGGCCACACCTGGCTCACATTCCTACTTGGCAACCGAGGGTGGACCCAGAGCTGCAAGCAGGGCAGGGGAATGGTGTGAACAGCCAACTCCATGATCCAGTTAGCAGTTCTGGGGGTTTTAGGCAGGACCAGTGGATTCTAGTCTGGGCACCTTTGCCTGCTCCCTGCATTTCTGTAAAATTAGACTTCTTACCTCCTGGCAGGGCTGGACCCGATCCCCACACCTCCTACTTATTTATCCCAGAGGTTCTGACCCAGAGGGTCCAGTGGTGGGTTAGGGAGAAAGGCTGTGAATCGCCTGAGTTTGTAAAACTGGGTGTATGGTCACATTTCTAGACAGAGGACCCTTCAGCTGATCCCACGTGTCCAAGCCGCATCCCAGGACTTTTAGGAGGCCAAGCAACACCCCCCCCAACACACACCCGCACCCCCCACCCTGTCCCGCCCCTCCACTTGCACCCCCAAGCTACAGGAGGGACGGCTGTTCCATCGACCAGCGCCTTTCCACGCTGGCACATCTCTCCAACCAGGTGTTCGTGGGGGCAATGGCAACCCCCCAGAGCCAGGGACCGACTTGGGGCCACCTGGACCCGGAGGAGGGCAAGGCATCACCGGTTGCTCCGCTGTGCCGCTCCCCTTACCCGCTCCCCCACCCGCCCTGCCCCCGGACCTGACCTGGGAGGCTCCGCAGCCGCCCCACTTCTCACCTGCGGCCCCGGCGTCCGGAGCAGCGCCGCGAGCTGGAGCAGGAGCCCGAGGCGGAGCGGGGGCCAAGGACCGCACCCCTGGGCCCCACTCGCCATAGCCGGTCCCTCAGTGCCTCCAGGGGACAGCAGGGCCCCCGCCTGGCCGGGAGGAGACTCCGCCCCGGGCTGGGCCACTTGGGTACGCAGAGGCTGGGGCGCAACCTCAGCCTGCGTCCTGCTCTTTCCCCCGCCCTTTGGATCACACTCACTTCCCCAGTCACCCTGCTGGAGATGGTTCGGGGAGGTCACCATCGGAGGCCATTCGTGGAGACTTTCTCACGTGCCAAGCGCTGTACCAAGCGCTCTACACCCTTCATTATTAGTTGATTCAATCTTCACGCGCTAATGAAAAGCTGAGGCTCAGCGACGGAATTCAAACTCAGGCGTCTGACCTCCAAGCTTGTGCTCACTGTTACTATGCTAAGGGCCTCCACTGAGAGGTGATGAAATATAGGTGAGCTGATGGACTCATTCATTCAGTAAATATTTACCTATTATGCAGCCTGGTGAGCAGGACAGATAAGGTACCTGTCTTTGTAGCACTTCCACGCCCTCACGCCTTGGCTATCAGACAGGACAGCATCAGAGCCCCCTTGCTGTGGTGGTTAGGGTTAGGGCTAGTTACGGTCCCTGCTGTAGTAGGCAGACTTCCCGACTTGGTTAGGCGGGGCCTGCAGGGGTCCATTTGGGCTCATGCATTTCTCCTTCTTCCTTGTGTAAAAATCACTGCCAATCTGAAGATCAGACAGCTAGGCTCTGCCTCTCTCTCTGCCTCCTCCTCTCTATCATCCCTGGCCTTCTTGGTCACGGCCCACACAGTCACCGAAGAGTTCTTTAGTTTGCTGGCCCATAGCCTTCCTCTACACCCCAAAGATGCCACCAACATTGGTGTCTCCAGTGTCACCTGCTACCGCACACAGCCCCGACCTATACTGTAATCAGCTCACAATTACCTAGGCCTGCCCAAGTAACCCCAACTAAATCATGCTTGGTTGGAACCCCATCCTTCTGCTGCTCCAAGAACGGGCTGCTGAGGTCACAGGTGCCTGCCTGCTTCTCCACAAAATTGCCTTTGGCTGCCTGGAGTATCCCATGCCCTCCTGCTGTGACTGACTGACAGGGGAACAAAAGACGGGCCCCTTTGCCTTAAGGTACAACCTCTGGTACAACTTATGCTGAGGAGTTTCTCACGCTTCACTCCCCCCACTTCTCTCGAAGAGTTCATCCCATCGCTGAGCAAGAATCCCTGCCTCAGGCTCTGTTTTTAAGAACCTACCTGATCTAAGGCACCCTCTAATCACGTTTTCATCAAATGTAGCCTTAGAAAACCCGACTGCCTCGTGGCGAAAGGACTCCATTAGAAATGCGTGCATCATAAAATCTTTGGTTTGCTTGGTGACCCCTTCACGCTTAGCTGTTCCAAGGCTCCCAATTGGCAAGATGGTCCTAAATTCATAGCACAAGTGATTGCTTGTCACTGTAGAAACCAACCCAAGCTACTGAGGGTGTGAATGAACCCTCCTTTATGCTTTATGTTTCGTACAACTGTACATTTCCTTGGAATGTACATTGCGTCTGTCAATTATGATTGGATTCATAGTCATTTCTCATGCAAATCAACTTGATTTGCATAGGCAACCTGCAAATGAACTCACATAAATCATTTTTGTGTGTGTGTGATGATATGAATATCACACATTGTAGAAACTGTATAAGATTCGGAGAAACAGAAATAAGAAAAAATTCATTCATGGTTCCACTTAGAAACAGAGCATCTCCATTAACATGCCTATATGTTTTAGTGGGCTACTATGCTGAAATATTAACAATGTTTTCCCCTCCAGAGCTTCATTTTCCCTGATAGCCCTTCTATTCAGGCGAGGTTGCTCTGAATTTATTGCCTTAGAGAAAGGATGAGGAACAGAAAGAAAGAAAAGGAAGCATCTTTTAGGTTTTGAGTGCTTGAATAGGGCAGGAACCTAGCCCTAAGAGAATAAATGAGGAGGATGGAAAAGTGGAAAATTCTCCCCGCTTCCTCCCTCCCCGGGCTCAGAGAGTAAGATACGGCACCTTCCTCAGCCAAAGACATGACCCCATGAAGCTTTGTGGGATCAAGGGCAGAGGGGATTTGTGTCTGGCTTCAGAGTGGAGACGCTCTATCCTGTGTCTGGGCAGCGGGGGTGGGGGATGGTTAGGGAGGTTCCCACTGTCTAGTGTGATGTGGAGGTGGGGGAATATTTCCAGATATCTGAGGGGGAGTGGGAGAGAGGGGAAGGAGAGAGAAAAGTGGGGGCGGGGGGAAGACTGCTCAGAAACAAAGAGGAACAATTGCAGCAGAAACCAGTAAGCATGAGAGACAGGACCCAATGGCATCTCAAGAGATGCCAGGTGGGACGGATGATATCAAGGACTCAGTGTCCCCTTGCCTCCTGGCATTATGCAAACTCGATGGAACTTAACCCCACCCTGGAGAAAAGCTAGGAGAAACCAGACAGAGCTGAATTTCTTCCCCCTGGCACAAAGAGAGCTTAAAATAAAATGTTAAATGGAGTTATGTGTTAAACAGAAGTGAAGTTATGTTTCTTCTCCATACCTCAATTTGTGCTCTTAAATGCTCTGCTCCTAGACAAATAGACATAAGCCAATAGCCTTTCTCCATTCTAGCAAAAGAGTGGAGAAAACAGAAATAGTGACAGGAAAAATATTCCTACCACAATAGCAATAAAAAGAAAATGCTTAGGAATAAATTTAACTATAAAGGCACAGGGCCTGTATGAAGAAAATGATAAAGTCTTATGAAGGATATAAAACAAAATGTGAACAAATGGAAAGCTGTGACCCTGTGTAGGAAGATTTCATGTAATTAAAATGTCAATTTTCTCCTAATTAGTTATAAGTATAATGAAATTCTATTAACTCGGGGCTTTAAAAACCTTGCCTAACATAAAGATGATATGCAAGAATAAATGCTTGAGAATAGTTGAGAAAAGTGTGAAAATGAAGAGTGATGGGAAGGGGGCTTATGTTACCAGATATCAGAAGATACTGTTAAACTATAATATCAATATAATTTTAGCATGGGAATTGACAAGTAGATACATATATGGGTTGGATCAAATAGAGAACCCATAAATATATATCATTGTAAGTGAGAGTTTAATAAACGACAAAGATGATATTTTAATTCAGTGGAAAATTTATGAAGTGCCTCAGCATAATTATCAAGAAGCAAGTAAATCTTTATGTCTCTTTCTCTCTTTTCCCCCTCATTCTTTTTTACTCTCTCCCTTTTTCTGCCTCTTGTATTTGCCTTTTTAAAAATTGAAGTATGGCCCACACACAATGTTACATTAGTTTTAGGTGTACCACACAGTGATTCAACAGCTCCTTACATTATGCTATGCTCACCACAAATGTAGCTACCATCTGTTACCTTTCTCTTTTTTTTAAGATAGATTTTATTTTTTATAGCGGTTTTATTTATTTATTTTTTAATGTTTTATTTATTTCTAGGAGAGAGAGAGAGAGACAGCGTGAGCAGAGGAGGGTCAGAGAGAGAGGGAGTCACAGACTGAAACAGGCTCCAGGCTCTGAGGTGGCTGTCAGCACAGAGCCCGACGCGGGGCTGGAACCCACGAACCGTGAGATCATGACCCAAGTGAAAGTCGGACGCTTAACCGACTAAGCCACCCAGGCGCCCCTTTATAGCGGTTTTAAATTTACAGCAAAACCGAGTGGAAAGGCCAGAGATTTCCTATATATTCCCTGCCCCCACACATTCATAAGCTACCCCTATTATCAACATCTCCCACTTTGTTACAACTGATGGACCTCCGTGGACACATCATTGACACCCAAGGTCTACGGTTTACGTCAGGGTCCACTCTTGAGTTGTACATTGTATGAGTTTGGACAAATGTATAATGATACGTATCCACCATTAGAATATGATACAAGGCATTTTCACTGCCCTCAAAATCCTCTGTGCTCTGCCTGCGCATCCCTCCCTCCTCTCCAATCCCTGGGAACCACTCATCTTTTTGCTGTCTCCATGGTTTTGCCTTTTCCACAATGTCATATAGTAGTTGGAATCATAACAGAGTAGGCAGCCTTTTCAGATGGGCTTCTTTTCCTACTAGTATGGTATGCCTCTAAGGCTCTGCCATGTCTTTTTTTTTTTTTTAATGTTTTATTTATTTCTGGGAGAGACAGCATGAGAAGGGGAGGGTCAGAGAGAGAGGGAGACACGGAATCTGAAGCAGGCTCCAGGCTCTGAGCTGTCAGCACAGAGCCCAACGTGGGGCTCGAACCCACAAACCGTGAGATCATGACCTGAGCCGAAGTCAGACGCTTAACCGACTGAGCCACCCAGGCGCCCCTGCCATGTCTTTTCGTGGCTTGATAGCGTCTTTCTTTTTAGCAATGAATAGTATTCTTTTGTCTGGATGTAACACAGTTTATTTATCCATTTACCTATGGAAGGACATCTTGATTACTTCCGAATCTCTGTAGTTTCGAATAAAGCTGATATAAATACCCATGTGTGCAGGCTTTCGAGTGGATCTTCTCGATTTCTTATTAAAATATATGAAATTTACAGAAAGTATACAAATCATAGGTTACACGGTGAACACATCTATTTAACCAGTACACAGACCAAGAAACAGAACATGACCAGGAACCCCACAAGGTTGCTTGTGACACATTCTAAGAGTAACCTCTATCCTGAGTTACAACACCATAAATTAGTTGTGCTGATTTTTGATATTTATACAAATGGAATCATACAGTATGTTCTCCTCTATGGCTGGCTCTTTTTTCAATTAAAAAATGCATTGTATTACATTGCACAAATTGCCACAATTACTATTATGGTAATTACTGCTATTACTATTATATGAATAGTAATTATATGAATTACTGGTAATTGCCCTTGATGGGCATTAGATGTTTTTCCTACCAGTTTTTGGCTATTATGCAGTGCTATGAATGTTCCTGCACTTATCTCTTAGTGACCGTATCTGCGCGTTTCTGTCAGCTATTTACTTAAGAGCAGA